CAAGAACTGCAGCACATAATATGTAATCACTATTAAATAGGAGAATATTTCTTTGTTCAAATAGTCCTGTTGGTACTGGGCTGGGTCAATTCATAGCAGACGGTGGAAATCAAGGCTCAGACATTTCTAAGCATTTGGAATTTGACTCCCAAGTTTCAGGATTAGTCTCCCCACCACATTCCCATTACTTGTTCTTGTGATTTTTGTAATCAACCTCATAAATGCATGAAGTATATTGCATTTTAAATACTCAAAGTGCTATAGAGACATTACTGCTAATTTTGTCCCTTTTATCCCCCCCAAAACTTTTTAATTTTTAAAATAATATCTTATTTCTCACTATCTTTTTTCCCCTTCAGAGAAGTGTTATGTTCAGTGATGAATATTGAGAATTTCCAGGGCCTCTCAAGCTAATGCCTGATTAACTCCTGCTTCAGATTTGATGAGATTTTTCTCTGCCTGTCCTGAAACTGTGCTTGGACAGACTGGGGAATGGCATTATGAAGCAGAGCTGTAAGTGCCAGAGACAGGAGGGCAAGACTCAAAATCTGAGCAGGTGGGAAACAAGGTCTGAGAGAATTAGGAGCCAACATGTTTTACCTACACATCCTCCTGTGTTTGGGGTGAATCAGCTGATTCCTTAGATGGGAAGACTGATAGAGCAGAAACTGAGGGACAGGTTGGATTCACCTGGAATTCTCTGCAACCTTGATGAGTATGACATCTGTCTGTATGTGTCCTAGGTGAACTCTCTAAGATAATGTGTTCTAAAAATAACAACACTTGTATATACACTTGCCTTCAAGGCCTGAAATGTGATACAGCTGCTCTAAAATTTCCAAGCACTACTGCTTCAGTAGTCAGCCTCTGCCAAATTGAAATGAGGACAGTTAACAGGATTGCAGGATGCAAACAGCATCTTGTATATACACACAGCTTGCCCAAGCCAGGCCATGTCATAATTTTCTTCAGCATGAGTCTGTAGGTGCTGCAAACTGCACGTTTAGCTTGTGCCTGAGGTGACAGAGATTGATTGCCATGGTCTGAACAGTTCATCCCTACCCCATCTGCTGCTGCTTGTGTGAAGATGAGGAAGGGAATGGCAGCCCATATAAACAGCCCAAATCCAAAGCAGATATTGTCCCACCAACACATCTGCCTCAGCTCTGCCAGGAAAAGGTCAGAAAGCTTCATCCTCTGAGATCCACAGATCTTTGGGTTCTGCTTCTGGTGCTGTCTTGTCTTCAACTCACACTTTCAGGAGTTTCTCTTTGCCCTTCCTTTATTAGGGAAGCTGCTGAGAAGAAAAGCAGGTTAATCAGAGGCACAGAATAGAAGATGGATATTAAGATGCCTTAGGCAGTGGAGAGGAGGGAGAAGTACTCTCTCTAGGATGGGTTGTGAGGTATGGGATGAGGTGGAAAGAAAACATGTCAGAAAAAGGACAGGATGTAGGGGGGGGGGAAATGAAAAATCCCTGTTCCTCACCATACCTTTCAAAGTGTCTTTCAGACACAAGACTTAAGCTTCCATTTTTTTCATAGACAGCTTGCTCCCAGGCCTTCTTACTTAAACCAGCTTTTATACTCTTTCAACTTCTACCAGCCTTTTCCCTCCCCCAGTTCCCCATGCCATGTACTCCAGCCCCGAAAAATATTAATCTTTTTTCTGTTTTGACACAGCAACATTCAATTTTGTTTTCATAGCTATGTAGCTTCTAGTCTTCTGTGCTATAAGGTAGTCCAATAGTGTGGAATCATCCTGGTTTTAGTGTGCATGGTTTCAGTGTTTAATGCATCTTGGTTTTAGTGTTACTTATTGAAAGTAACTAATTGACATACCTTTACTACTGAACAAGTTCAGTATTAACAGGCATCTTGAAAAAATAATGTTTCACGGAGAAGCCCATTCCATCAAAATTCTTTAAATCAGACTTCAATAAATAGAATACTAGTGAAGGGCAAGGGCTTTTCTTGTTTGCTCAACAAGTCTTTGCTGAACAATAAATATATTTCTATTAGAGTGTGACTGGGAAGTAATCCTATAATAACATGCACTCAAGTATTTTCAATTACTAGTTCAAAGGGAAACACTTGATAAAAGGGAGCAGTGTCAAGTGTGATCTGAAAGGAAACTCTTTCCAGTGCCTAGCTAGAAGAGCATACACCAAGGTAAAATATTCCATTATCAGGTATAAAGTATCAGCTGTTGGTTTGTTTCAATATATTAATTAACGATATTGAAACTACAGGTAATTCTGTCTGATTTTTGTGCTGTGTTTCAATTGACAGTGAGCTGTTTTGTCTGAGTTTTTCCATTTTGTTTAATTGTCTATAGTGTTGTTAAGTACCTAAGAGAGCCACAGGGGTTTGGCTGAATCTGAAAAGAGTACACTAGGCAATTAAATGCAAAACTTCTAATCTATCCTTACATTTAAAATGTTGCTGGATTTTATGAAAATATTAATCCAGGAGTGATAGTTAAAATCTCAAATTCTTTATTACATCTTTCATTGACCATCAAGCAGATGTGTAATGTAGTTAAAAATGCATAGAATACAATATGAAAAAAATTGTCTTTCAAATAATTTCTTAAGGCTGAGAAACCAGATCTTATTTATACACATCCCACTATCACTGTCATAAATACTACTGGCATAATGTTCTTAGTGGGCTAAGTTAAAAGACCACAATGAATCAGAATGCTGTTTCCAGGATGCTATAGGAATCAGGGCAATTAGTTAGTTAGTGTCACTAACTAATTGCTTTTATCTCCTTCATGAGGAGATTGATTTCCTGAACAAAACCATGACATCATCCATAAGCAGCTCTAATTATTATTATCAGTTATTCTACAGTTAAAGAAAACTGTTATTCAAAAGCCAACTGGATGTGGTTGTTGCCAGCCTCGTGTAAATGACTCTGCTTGGCCAGAGCTGGTTTTAGCAGATGATCTTTAGAAATCCCTTCAATCTCAATCATCTGGTGATTTCCAAACCAGAGCTTATGAAGACCTAAATGGATTCCAAGACAAGTGTTATGCTTGGACACTAACAGACAAATGTTTCATGGCATTTCCAAATTCTTTAGTGACAGTGTAAATCTTCCCTGTGCAATCTCCTGGCCGTTAACCAATTCCTTTGCATACTTTAATAGATAGACAGTATCTTTATATGCTTCCCTATAGACAATAAAAAGTTTTTAAAAAAAAGAGAGAGATTCAGGACTGTGCCTTACTTACACTGCAGAACTATAAGATTTGCATGTTACTAAAAACTGTTGCAACTATGTCACCTGCCCATTACAACTGAAAAAAACCCATCTCATATATATTTTTATTAAATTTAATTGAAATTTGCTAGAGAAATATAAGTATAAAGATTTTTTATTATCTTAAATGACTTTTCGTAAGAACTTTGATCCTGCAAAAATCCACTCTAGTAATGGAATTTCTGAAGTTACTCCTCCTACTAAGTACAGCACTACAAACACTTTTGGGTGTTCATGGCCCACCATGACATATATGAATCAGATGCTAAAAATGAAATAGTAGGAAAGGACAAAGTGTATGAGCACTGAAAACACAAGGGTTATTTTCAGTCTTTCATTTACAGCTGTCAGTTCAGGTATAATTTGGATCCCTTTGTAGAAATTGTCCATTTATGCCCAACAATGTAAGTCCCTCCAAATCAACTAGGCACTCATGAGCTGTCTGCTTTGCAAGCTTGCTAGAAAAATATTCTTGAAAGAGAGAATTTTATTATGCATTTCTTCATCCTGTTGCTAGATCAGCAGCCCAGTCATGCCTTCTTTTTTTGTTTCTGGTTTTGTTAGTGCTACTTTTTTCCCTTTTTTTTTCTTTCTTATGTAGATACTCTAGTAAGTGTATTATGGAAAATAATAAACCTTATGTCTAAGGTTTAAGCAGAGATACTGTTATGATTTAAGCTAATGGTTATAGTTTATCATCTGCTGTCTGTTCCATGAAAGAAGTTACACAATTGCATGTGTTTCAAGAAGTTTTTTTTAATAAACTTGGTGTCACTTCAACACTTAAAAGAAGATGTTACAAAGTTCACTGAACTAGACTTATCTGGTTCTATTTACTGAAATTATTACTGTGACCTATCCCCTTTAATTTCTTTTAAGTTATTTGGGAAATTGTCCAACATGTGAAGGGCCAGAACGCAGCCAAGATATTCCATCTGGTGGTTTTTTAAGTGTTCTAGTGAAAAACTAAACACTAATGTTCAGCTTAAGCCTCCAATGCTCTTGAGAGCTCAGAATAATCTTACAGAGTAGGTTTCCTCTTGGTGGTCAGAAGACATTCACAGTTAAAACACATTTGTTTTTAATGCTGTGGCAGTGTAATGGCTCTGCAGGGAGGAAAGGACTGCACACATTTTGTCATTAACCCTGGCCTTGATAAGACCCTCTCTGGAACCACACAGACACAGAAATGGGAGCACAGGAGAATCCATATCCAGTTTGTTAACCTGATTGCAAAGCTTACAAATTACTCCTGGCCATGTGATTTGGAAAGCTGTTACTTGAACACATGCTTTGTCTGCATGGAACTGCGGCATTGCTTAGTTGGTATTTTCCCTTTGGATACTTGGTTGAAAAGTTCAGTTTGTCACAGTTAATTTTAATTCATATTAACTCCAAAATGTGTTTAGTGCATTGAGAATGCTGAGTAGTACATGCTGAGGATGGAATAATAAATTGAGAGGTTATTTTTATGCAGTGAAGTGGGGTTAGGGATCGCTGCAATTTGCGTGCCTCTGAGCTCAGACACCAAAGGACAACAGCTCTGTACTTGTAGTGCACAGAATGGGTACTCTGGGTTGACCTCTGGACCAAACTCATCCCCATCTTTTCACTCACTCCCCTCCACAGCTGGAGGACTTCCAGAAGTGTTTGCCTGCAAGACAGGTCAGTGGTTGGAGAGCTGGTTAGATATTTTCAGTAGCAGAGGATAAGAGATGCTCAGGGGTTCTTTGTTGTTTGATCACAGTTCACAGCTGGCAAGAGCATGTAGTATGTGCATTATCTGCTTTCTGCCATTTGATACTGGATATCTTACACCTCAGCAATCCAATGTTTAAAGAAGGACTGGTAGGGTAAGTAGAGAAATTACATATTTATGTCAGCAGGTGTAGAAAGAAGATGACTAATTTTGACCTTTATAAATATCTTTGAGGTTAAATAGCAAGGAAAAATGAACTAATTTAATTAAAGAAAGTATTAGTTGTCCCTTCTTTTGAGCCTGGGATCAAGAGGCTGGCCATGAGGAGGTTTACCACTTTGCTGTATGGGAACATCCTTTTAGTTTAAAGTTGTATCTCAGTCTGAAATGTAACCCTTACAGCATAGATGTTGCTACCAGTGATTCATCTCAGTTATCTTTCTCATTTTCTTTCTTTTTACTTTCATAAAATTCTTTCAAATCCTTAAAATGAAGGCATCTAAACAATAAGCATTGACAGCTGTCCACAGCAGAAGGTTGATGATGCACAGACTTCTCTAAATTCTGCTTCTCATGCCAAGGAATTATCACCTCATTGCTCCACAACTTCCTTGTTCTAAGGATACTGCCATTCTCACAGCCCAGGTGAAAGGCTGTATCCTGGAGGCATGACCTAACCCTGAAAGTGTAACCAAATCCTTTAAGGGATTTCTTTAAAAGCCTGATGCCTGCGTCAAAGAAATGCTGGAAGGGACACTATGAGGAAGGTGATAAGAGAAAAAAAATAATAATATGCAAAATTAAAATTAAATTATAGTCATCTGAATAATGTTCAAATACTCTATTTTCCTTATCATTAAAAAAAAAATTCTTGTTATTCTTTATTTGAGTCTCTACCCTCAGCAAGGGTGTTGTAGTGCTTCTTCCCAGAAATGTATTGAATTTCTAACTGTTGAAATGGCTAAAATTCTAAAAATTCAGACTTATGTTTTACAGTAATGTTCCCCTGTTAGAATATATTCTGAGAAACTTTTGAGTATTTTTATATGGAGTAAAAAAATTAGTTAAATCTCTTTTGATTCTAAAAGCATTTGTATTATTTTGGACAACTCAAATTCCTGATTTTAATAAAAAACACTTTCAGCTCTTTCATCAAGGAAAAACACAAGAAATTTCAAGCACAAGGTGGATTTTCTCATTATATTTGCAAAACAAAAATGAGTTTGTACCACTCATTGTAGAAGTATTGCCAAAGGTACATATCAGGTAGTATTTGAGTCATCTTGGAAAAAAATACAAGAAACACTTGTATTGAAAGAGATTGAGTCTTACATTTACATAAGGAATGGAAAATTCTTAATTCTAAATTCTTTAGATATAGCCAAGTTTTTTACTGTTGAGCCAATTTCTCTGGACTTACTCTAAGTTGCCATTTTTTTTTTTGTTTGTTTGACAATAGTGTAAGTTGGAAATTCCAATAATCCTTTTTGGAGTACAGAATAAAAACCACTGTAAATTTCCCTGACGTCCTGAGGAAGTTTGAGAATGTAATCTATATACTCTTTACGTGTGCTAGTATGCCACAAGGTATTTTCCTAGGAATTGCAAAAAATGCAAACTACTTCACTACGTGATTTTTGACAAATATTTGTTATTCTCTTTTTACAATAACATCAGTAGACTAAAAATAAAGCAGCAGCTTAAGAAGTTACTTCACACACTGTTTCTGAAGATGCAATAAGTTTCTGATAGAAAATATTTTCAAGTACAAAAAATAATTTGCAGTTCTGCTTACAAATCAGAAAACAGCCAATAATGATCTTAAGTATGATTACATTTCTCAGCTCTCTTGAAATATTTTTGTTACAGCAAAAACTGTGAGTGAATATTGTTTGAAATAAACATCTTTTCTTTGCACAAATGTTGTCCAGCTGCAGTGTTCAAGTCACAACATATGCCCCAATGTCCTAAGTATTGTGCAGTGTAACTCTCTTAAAGAGAAGGGGGCTGTAAAGGAAGCACATGCAATGCTTTTTATCATGAAACAAGAAAGTAGGTAGAGTAAAGGCAGACCTTGTTTTCTGTCATTGATAAACCAAACTATTCCCAGCATGGGTTGACATTTTAAACACTGAATATATTACCAAATTTTTACTCCCTTCTTCTCAGAACCTCGAGATTTGCTAGTCTCAGCATTCATGGGCATGATATGCAGCTAAGGAAACAGCTCTATGTTATTCTTCCTCAGTTTCCCAGGGTCTGGATGATTGTTGTGGTTAGAGTACTTCAGGTGTTAGAGATTACGATTGCTGAGGTGGTTTGCATTTGAAATGCTATTTACAGCTGCTCAGGGAGAAAGGATGCTCTGGTTTCAACATACAGTACTCCTTGAGTTGGGTGTAGTGTGCAGGCTTGGAAGATGCAGGTAAAAGCTTAGTGAGAGGAGCCACACATATATTCCAAAGAATATATCCATATTCTTTGGAATGTTACATTCCAAACATTGTCAACTTTAATATTTAGTGGTTGGAATAACTTTAAGGACCAGAGGGAAAAAGAATGCTTTCTGTGCCTTCATCCTTTCCTTGTGATTCCTTATAGCATCTACCTGTCAGCAATGCTGTAATTTTTGTCCTGTCCCTTTCTGTCAATGCAGCTTAAAATTACTCCTTACTTTCTGGGACTAAATGCAGACTCATAAATTCATGTGGCCAAGCCCAAAGTGTGCCGGTGCTGTGCCTGTTCACCTCCCCACCCTTTCTTGTTGTTTGTATAAGCATAGAGGTCTTTGATAAAGTCCAGAGAACACAACTTTGAATTTTTTATTTTAAGGCAGCTTTCCTAGAAAAAAAAATTATCTGTTTAACCACCACGTTCCAAGATAGTCTCACAGCTATCACCACCCTATGCAGCTCTTAGTGGGATTTCCAGGAGCTCCACTGCACAGAGACAGAAATTACGGCTTCTCAAGAAATGTTTCCAAAGAGCCACTGGCTGCTGGTGATGGTGCTTTTCCTTTGCATTGAGGAGGATAAGGAATCATTTCCATGGCTTGGCTTACTGTCAGTCACAGATAACTGAGACCCTACACAAGCACCTGTCTGGGGAAGCTTATGTCCCAGCTCTGACACAATTGATGCTTGCTTCATGGAAGTTTTTCTGCTTGAGATTCCTTCACCAATGCTGAAATAAGTCACAGACTATACAAGATTATTCGTGCTTTCAGAAGGTCATTATAGGAAAAAAAGGGGACATAAAGCTGACAAAAAAAACCCTTTAGGTCTTTAAGCCAATGCTTAACATCTGCATCTTATCTGTTATAGCTGGATAACTTAAAAGTTACAAACAATTTCAGAAATTTAATGAATTTTGTCTAAGTTGTCCCAAGTAGATCTTCATAAGTTATTAGTGGTATAAAACACTGGAGGATGAAGTCCTAAAAAGGATTTATGTGATGTGATAAAACTACAGTACAGCTGAGGGATTTTGGTTAAGTTAACTTATCCAAGTGACTGATACCTACTGCTGGGAAGCTTGTCTGGGGTAGAATAAAGCCAGGTCACTGGTCTGCAGTAGGAAGTGTAAGAGGGACAAATGTTGTCTGAAGATTTCAGGCAAAACTTTAAAATGTCAAATGGTTCATGAAAGCAGGAAGCTTGTTACAGAAAAAAGTTAAAGGAATTATTCATAATGATCTAATCTTCTTTGAATTAGTTGCCAAGGCAACCAAAGGAAACATAATCTCTCATTTGATATCTTCAACTAAAAAAAGAAAAAGAAGATTTTTTGAAAACAGGATATAAAATCTACAATTAAGGTTAATGAGGAGAAGGATTGGGAAGTTCCATGTGCTACTGAATAAACTCATCTAAATGCCTTAAGATTGACCAAAACTAAGGTTTGGCTTCTCAATACTCCATTGAAAAATAGTAGATTCTATCAATCATAAGAAATATTAGATTTTTCATAGAGAAAAATTTTCTTCATAAAGAAAATTTTCACTCATTGGGAAACTAATGGCTCAAAAGACCCCCAAACTGGGGTTACTGATATGGCCTGCATTACTGCAAGACTGTAGATTTCCAGGTAGATTTTTTTAAAAGCATATTTTTAACTGCAGGATATATGTGACTCTTAGAAGAGCTGGGAAAGACAACTTTTAAAAATAATGATTTCTCAGTTTTATCTGTGGCGCAGGTACAGTGTTTCAATTAATGTTATTGTTGTTTGTGTTGTATTCCAATGACATAAGTATATTTTAAATTTCTCTTAAATTCTCTTGCATCAGTTTCTTTCAGTCTGTCATGTGTGGTAGAACAGCCATTAAGGTTCTGTAAGGATTACTGTCCTTCAGTATTTCATCTTGAAAAGCTGAATACAGTTGCTTCCTCCTGAAAGGCATTAATAAAACAAAGCTAAAACTGATGGCTTTTGTTCACCTCACAACAAAATACTGTATTGGGATTTAGTGAAGGTCCTTTTAGCAGCACTGTCAATGTATTTTATAATTTGATTTCAGGAAAACATCTTGACATAGGAGAAGTTAGTTGCATTTGTTTGTTTTCCTTTACTAAAACTTGTAAAAACAGTTCATTAGAAACAGTTCTGTATATAGTGAAGTGAAAAGCCCTGAGGAGTTTTGAGTCCCTCTAGGAAAAGGAAAAAGGGGGGAAAGTTTGTATGGTTGAGGACTCAGAAGGAAGAAAACTAGTATAAGATAATAATTTGTATGTTAAAGTTAAAATAAGCTTTTTTAGCCTTTGGTACTTCTCAAGAAAATTCCCAGAAAACCCCCTGATTTCTTTTTCTGTTCCAACTCCATTCCTTTTTCTCCTATGTTTTTTTTTACCTTTTAGAGGTAATGAGCTGCTTATAACATGGCACAGATAATCCTTTATCTCAACAGATTTTTCATTCTTTATTGTACTACTTCATCTTTCCCCCCATTTTTACAAAGCCCTTTGATTCCTGGTTGGCTTGACTTGGTCAAGAAAATACATTTAATAAGCATGTAGAAGAGAGTGAGGTTTTGAAACATATTTATTTCCTTTTGTCTTTAAGTTGTTAATTATTGGCTTAATCAAACCTTTTGATAAGAAGAGGTGACTTCTCCAGCATTGAAGGAAAATAGTTGGAAGGAGAGAGTTTCAAGGTGCTAATTTGAGTTTTTTGTTGAAAAAATGCTAAGCTTGCTCATCTATGGCTTTCTTTTCCTCCCTAAGTGCATGAGAGTAAAATTCCAATAGAATTCATATGAGCAAAGTTTGTTTCTTCTCTGCCTCTAGAGATGATATAACCCTTCAGACTTTACAGAATGTCCCTTTTAAATATGGCTGAGTGTTGTGTTGATCAGTCTCCTGATGGTGTACAGAAATTTCTGCTTTATCCGTGGGGAATACCTGTTGATATCTCTATATATATCTATATAGATATATCAAATATGCTGTTTTCCCTCCATTGTAAGTATTGCCTCTGTACGTTGGGCTGGCTGACTCAAATATTCATTGTCTGAGCTTTTGCCCCATGGAGCTGGAATGGATGTTGAAGTACATTTCTTTACTATTATTTTGCTCACATAGTCATATGAACAAGATGGATAATCTGAAATTGCTGTTGATCCCCCAGCTATCTCACTGCAGGCAAAGAATTCCCTCTCATATTTTCCTGAAGGTCCTAACAAGAAAGGTATCTGCAGATCAGAATTTAAAATGTCTGTGAAATCATCTGAACAGTACCTGATCAACAGGTGCTCAAACATTTCAGAGCCACTAGAGGCAACATTCTATGCATAAACAACTCATATTTATCTTCAGGGTCCAATAAAACATCAAGAAGGCAGAGGATGTCAGACATCATCTGCACTAGTGTTACTTGCATTATCCTGTTAGTATATAGACAAGAAATGTAGATACTAAGTACTAGGAATGGAAAGGAAAAGCAGATTTTATATTACTGCAAAGTCAGGAAAACAGAACTATGTAGTGCAAAACTTTGATGGAAGGGCATTTTTCTACTCTTCTGGTGTCCAAAGGTAGTTGTTATTCCTTCTATACATAGAAGCAATCTGCTGTGAGTTGCCTTGGTCCCCTGACAAGGATTCATTGGAGAAAATACAATATTAATCTTTTCCTTAATATTTGACAACAGCACTTGGAAAAATATTAGCTAGTAAATGCCACACAAATAACTCAACCCTGTGTAGAAGAAATACCTTCTTCAACCTGGGGATGTTTGCTTCAAAAGTAGCCATTGTTCTGCCTGCAGGACTAACAAGTCAGATCAGATGTGTCCATGTTTTAGTCATATTGAAACTTTTCCTCTGGAATATATATGAATTTCCTAACTGTCCTGGCTTGTAAAATAAGCATGTATTCTATTTTGCCATCTGTTGGGGGTTAGGCAGTTTTTTTTATCTCTTTAGAAATCCGGCGTTAGTGAGTAGAGTCCGACCTCTCCCCTGCCCAGCTGCGTCTGGGTGGGGGAGGGGGAGGCCATGACAGGGAGGAGGCCGGGAGCCCCAAAAAGTGCAAAAGTAAAAGAGAACATGCAGGGGTGGAAAAAACTTGGGATGTCTGGGCAGCCCCCCCGGAGAGAGGGACAGAAATTGTGCTAACAGTTCAGCTAACCAAAAGCGGGGGATGCGTCGAGAGAAGCGCCCAGCCGTGGGAGTCCTTGGGCAGGCAGAATTTAACCCCTTTTTAGACTAATAAAAACCTTACAAATACCGAATCCTCTTGAATCAGGATAAAATAAGAGAGAAAAATGAAAGATAAAATAAACAGGCGTGAGAAAAGCTGGAAGAAAAGAGAAGAGTCCTGAGTGAAAGAAATAATGAAGTGGCCTTGGGCTGGACTCTTTCTTGTATAGCCATGGACAGACCCGTGTTTTTTTCCCTGTGACCCAGAGACTGTATTTAGGGGGAGGCAACACCAAGGAGTCAAGAGTAAAACAGCAGCGTGAACAGAAACAGCTAAAAAGAGTGTAAGATGCCCTCTGTCTCCACAGAAAAAAAAATCTCTGCTCATGAGACCCCTCGGCCCCAGGGGGTGAAATTTGGGGGGGACTGGTGTCCCAAAGTTGACCTATGAGGCAAGGGGGGACTCCTCTCTCCCGGATGAATTTAAGGGTTAGTAATTTGAGGGGTAGTAAGTGTGTGGAGAAAAAGGAGGGGGAGGAGGAAAGTATCTGGAAGGTTTTTATTTTTAGCTTAGTATGTGTTCCTTTTTAGATTTGTAATAAATAAAGTGTTGTTTTATTTCCCTTCATCCCCGAATGGGAGCCTGCTTTGTTCTGTTCCCGGGTCACATCTCACAGCAACCCTTTTAAAATATACCCTTCATAGAAGCCCTGGCATTGTGCTAAGGTCAAACCATGACACTAACTTAAAAAAAAAAAACAAAAAAAAACCAAAAAACCACCCACACACAACCAAAAACCACACACAAACCAACCAAATAACAAGCTGGTCTTAATTTAGTCCTTCCTTTACACCAACCAGGTAATTTATTATAACCATTGAATTCAGGATGTAGTAAAGCTCTCAGTTGGCTGCTTAGCTCTCAGGAAAAAGTAAGCCCTAACACAAATGCTGGAGATCCAGATTAGCAAATCCCACACATCGACCTGGTGGAAGCAAAATGAAATAAAAGGGATATGGCCAGTGTCCAACAGGAAGTGGCTAACAGAGTGACAAGCTGAGTGGTCACAGACTTAGCAATATTCTTTGGAAACACAAATTCACAGTATTTAACATACTTGCCACTGGTAAATGAGTTAATGAAAAATAAAATAAAATCAGGAAGTTGATTTTCCACATCGTCAAGATGAAGAAAATTCTGAGCAAAGCAGCTCTTTGGTTCCCCCATACTCACTATACTGCTTCCCTCTCAAAGCCAGAAATAAGGAAAGTCCCTTTATCTCTTTGACTAGAGACCAAAGTTGTACCTTGGTGTTACCTTTCCTGTGCACATGACATTAGGTAACGAAAAATCATATTCAGTGCATATCACTGAATTAAGGAAAAATTTAAAATTTAGGACCATTTTATTTCATGCAAACTATGTAATAAACACTTCTGGTTTTGATGTTTTATGGTGGAAAACAATTTATTTCTTTTTTGTGATATTTCTTCCAGTGATTAATGCTGATATCAATGTGCTTATGAATTTACCAACCTGTTTGTCTACAAGTCCCCTGGAAGATGACATCCCTCATGCTCACATTTATGTTCTTCCTCTTGCAGTTTACTGGAGATTCATCTCCTCAGAGTGCTAAAGACTGACTGTTGGGAGCATCCCAACAATAAAGGGGAAGCAGGCAGTGTGTTTGTAGCCATAATGAGATTGAAACTTCCTTCCCAGTAAGTGGAGAGCTGAATGACTCAGCCATTTATCAGCTGAAGACAGAGAAATGGAGGCGCCTGGAGAAAAGAATTCCTTATTATGGATGGCAGCCGGCATGACATGAGTATGAGTCATGAGGAAAGCAGTTAGTTTAGAAAGAGCCCAAAGGAGACTGGACAACATTACAGAAATACCAGAGGACAGGTGACTACATTGAATCTTAGAAATATAGTTATGATTTCCAATAATTGATCAAAAGTGATTCGTGTCTTCAAAGTTCTTCCCCAAAAGGAGACTAAAGTTACAAACCCTACTTCACAGGCAAGATTTCTACCTAATTCATAGATTTTTATTTTTTTTTTAAAGACTGCAAGAGACTTGGTCAGCTCCTTTATTCAGAGAGTTAAATTAACACTGCTTTGGTTGACATCTCAGTTGAAATCTTTGGCAATCAATAAAGAAGTTGTAGTCATTATAGTAAGGAATTGAGTCATGTTAGAGGTAACAAATGAAGGAACAGAACATGTTGTTGGCTAAAAGAACCAAGCACCAGCTTTACCTTCTGTGAGAAGACTGGAGATAATTTTTTATCCCCTTATGCTAGTATTGTACAAAAGGGGGAAAAGGCAAAGCAGAGTCTTCACATAAATATTCTAATTTTTGACTTTGAGTTCTTGGGTAGAAGAAGCAATTGGTCTTACCTGAAAACCACAATGGAAACAGATATATTAAGAGATAGCCAAGAGGATTGTAATTTTTTTTCTGTTTTATTTATCTAATTTATCTGAGAGTGTTCATGTAAGAATCTTGTTTCCCAGCTTATGTCTTTTGGTCAGTGTTTGCAATCCCTTTGTATAACCTTTTCAAAATTTTGTACAAATTCTGTAAAATTTTTTTCTTCGTATTCTTCACATTCTTTGCATTTTTCTGATTTTGTGGAAGTCAACTGAAAAAAAAAAACGCAATAGTAAAGCAGGATACTGATCCATTCATTCTGATAGAGAATAAGCTTTTTTTGCCCTGTTTTGGGTAATAATTCCACTGCAGGTAATGGCTAAGGAATATATAAGTGGAGGCTTCCATGGTGTGTGCATTTCCTGGCCTTTTGAATAGGACTGTCTTTGAGAGGTACATCACTTCAGTGAAAGATGCAAATGATTGTCCCTCTGAAAGTTAAGACACTTTTCTGCACGTGTCTCACTTATCTGACTGCAGGTACTGAAGCTGCAAACTGTCATTTATACACACACATTCAAACATCCTGAAATATGTATGCATGCAGAAAAGTATTTGCTTTGATGGGAATTCTAAACGTGTTTTTCTAAATACCACTGATTTTTCATTACTACAAGTACAGGTTACTGGAATCTCGTTAGTTTTCATCCCACCGTTTATGTAACAAAGAAGTATTTCTGCTACAGAAGTAATATTTTTAATTTGCCTTTTTTCCATGCACCATTGGTGTTGCTTACCTTATTTTTTTCGAAGCTTTCATTTCCATTTTTCCATATGTTCCACACATCCTGTGTTTTGCTACAATTTTTGATACGACATTCTTGAATTATCACCTGTGTCTCTAAGAAAAAGCACCTCATTACAAGTTCTTGGCATTCTTCCTGAAAAAAAAAAGTTGCAATAGTTTTATGATTAAAAAGAAATAAGCAAATGTAGGACATAATTTATTATATAATTTAAACACAGGTATGATATAAGTGAGAAGGAATCTAAGATAAAATCAACCAAAGAGAGGCTGATTTTTACTTACTGGGCATCTTTTTTTTACTATTCAAATACATTTGAATATCTGCAGAGATGGGCTGTGAGAGCTAAGAACAAAAAGACCAAGCAGTTTGCTAAGATGGGGTGAAACATAGTGTCTTAGTGAAGAACATAGGAAAATAATTAATTAGGATAGGAACCTGACATATGACTAAACATAGTAGAATTTATTTAATTCTTAATAGTTTTAACCCTTTAACTCAGAGACCTGAATTCAGAATGGGTAAGAAAGTAGAAGAAGCAGGTAATGCTCCCTTAAATGAAAAATGAATTAAAAAATGAAAAATTAATCCCAGAATTATTTTAGCATTGTTTGCCTTGAAAAATTATTTTGAATCACATAATCACAGAATAGTTTGGTTTGGAAGGGACCTTACAGATCCTGTGCTTGCAGCCTCTCTGCTATACACAGGGACTTCTTTCTGTAGGCCAGGATGCTCAAAGCCCCACCCAACATGGCCTTGATCATCCCTTTCAATTGATTAATTTTAGTAGTAGATGACTAAATAAGGATAATTAATACCTGCTTCCATAATTTATCATAAGCACATTGATTAGAAGAACTATTTATTCCAAGGCAAATTATTTGATTTTAGATACCTTTATCAAATTAGAACAAGTCTACTTTAGGGGATAATTTTTAGTAAAACTATGAAGCCACCACATTAAACATTTAGTTGTGGTCATATGTGAAGTTTACTTACATCCTCATCTGCATTTGCAGTGTATAAACTGACATCAATATCCTACAAGAAAACAAGAGTTGGAATTATAAACATTAGCTAACAAACACCATCCCTCTCCCTCTCACTAACATTACTTAGCTGAGTGCAGTGCTAAATATTTTATTAAGTCTTCTTCTATGATTATATGAAATGCTGACTGTTTTATGAACTTACTTTGGATGTCTTGATCCTTTCCAAATCTTCCAGAACTTCTGCCCACTTGCAGTGACTGGCTTCTGTCTTTGGTACATAAGCACTAGAACAGAAGAAACACGGTGACCATTAGGCTAAACAGGAGGTATCTACAACATTTATCCTGAAAAAAAGGACTCAGCGTTGTAAGATATTACAGACACAGTGTTTACATGTAAATACATATGGTAAATGTTTGGGGCAAGCAAGCATACTTGACAAATCATAAAATCACATAGATATATAAAAACTGTATCTCATGTCACACACAGTATAAAAAATGTGGGGTTTTTTGAAGACCAGATTTAGAGAACATAATGCAAGAGAAGGGTTCAATTACCTGATGTAAAGTACCTAAAATTCTTTTAAAGTGTAAAAGAGTGTCTCCACTCCCTGAAGTGACTGAAGACAAGTAACAGCTGTGATAGTAAAAATAAATAATTTATAGTTACTCTCTGATTGACATTAACTTACCATAGGAAGAAGATGATTAGTCCCATCCCATTCTTTAAAAACCAAAAGCAATGGCTGTTCAGAAGCAGATACCTCAGACAAATACTTTTCAGGTATGTTTTCTGAAAGACACAGCCAAGGTGATACCTTGTCACAATTTGATTCCACAGAATTTTGCTTTAGTACTGACTTAATTAACCAATTTTCCAAGACTTCCAATAAAGACAAGACCCTGTTGTGTATAGCTGGAAAGACCAACTGATTTGTAGCTTGGAGAAATACATAATCACTTTACCAAACAGTTGGTAGAAAATCAGATGCTCAAGGCACACTGTGAAGACCTGAACTCATCCTGGGCTCCCTATTTATTTATCAATTCATACTGCAGGCTGCAATTTAATGCAGAATCAATATTAAAGAACTTTTGTTTTCCACCTCTCTCCGGGCTACCATTTTTTATCCAAATTCAATTAATTACCTACAACTTTAACTCCAATACTGTGGTTGCATATATGTGAGACTCTACATCAAATGCATAAAATACTATAGTTATGTGTACAAATGTTAAATAAAATATTTAGCTATAGTATATACTTACATTTCTTTACACAGTGTATGTGTGTCTAATAGTGGACAATGATGCATTTAAGAATTTCCTCAGTGGAGTTTGGCAACTGGAAATAAGGAGAAGCTGTGAGAAGCTGTGCATTGTCCATCAGGAAATATTTCCCTGTGCACAGCCTGGTAACCTTTGTTCCAAAGTCACAAGCCCTTTGATTTAGCTGATGAAGTTCCCTCACAGGCTTAGGTTAATTATCTGCTGCAGTGCAGTGGTTTTGACCCAAGGGTTTATTCCTTATCCAACAGGCAATACTCTGTAACTGACTCAAATGACGTTTCTTTACCTGCAAACTTGCAAGTAAATATTTGAAAATGGACCAGAGAACATAACAAAAGAAGAGCTGTGCAGGAATGAAAATATCCAAATGGGAGGTCAGTCCATGCACCGTCAGGATTGCAGCTTACTTGCTTAAAGACAATAAAGTAGAGTAATGACCACATGTGTGACAGGATTTCCAGAAAGTATTTTTAACAAATACTTGCTACTCTCTTAAATAGAAAATGCTTTACATACATTGCAATTATTTTGTTTTCAATCTCCAAAGATGGAGCTGAAATAGCATAGTTACCTAATCTTACATAAACTTCCACATTCAATAATGGGACACAGTGTCAGTCCCTTTTATCCTCTTTGCTTGTCCAAAACCTGTTAAATAAAAGCTACATGAGTGAATTACACTGTGACAACCTAAATTGCAGTAAGGACAGAGCAGGTAACATCTCCTACATCTTCTGAACAATTTCCATATGGAATCCTGTGTTATGATCAGCCAAAGTAAGTCTACAAGCAAGGCTAAACCTGACACTGCTTCCACAACAAATGGAAATTGAAAATATAAGTACTAAACCCAAAATACAAGGTACTTATTCATGTATGGTTTTCAAATATACAGGATAAAAAAGGAAAATAATTATTAACTGCATGAATATGTGAAAAGAGCTAAATCATCTTACTATAACAGAAAAGCTTTATCCTTTTCACAGCTAACATTGATTTGAAATTGATATGTTATTTCTTTTGGGTTTGGATTTTGTTCATTTGTTTTGTTAAATCTGTGTACTAACTTCTTTCATTTGATATGCTAATCCTTAGAAAATATTCTATTTTGGTTGGGCTTGGGGTATTTTTTAGTATTATTATTATTTAAGTGAAGTCAGAAGTAGCCTTAAGGGGAAACTTCAAGTGTATTTAAAGAAATTTTAAACCTGGTTGGTGAATACAGCTGAAGAAAGCAGGTTTTCATCCCAAGTTTTAGGAAAATAATTTAAAGTATACTAGAAATATTTTACAATAGCTAAACATTTTTATCATTCTACAAGCTAGTTTTTATGAAATGAGATGAGGTCCCAACAAATTAAAATATGAATGACTTATGATGGGTCCATAAGCACATACCAGCTTTGTAATTATAATAGCTTTATAATTTATAATTAGTGTTATGGGGCCTTAAAAAATTGATTTGAGAGGGAGGCCCAGGACAAATGAATTGTAAAATTTATGCTGCAGAACAAAGTTTTCACGGTGAGGAAATAATATATTATGATATCTAGTGAATAATGGACCAGGGTTATCATTAGTTTGTAATTTGTTTCCTATTTTAAATAATTGTTCATTGTAATGACACTGGAACACTGTGTTCTTAATGATTGAATGCCTGCATCTTTGGTTTTCTTAAATATTGTAGGTAACCTTTATTGTAATAAAATTATAATTGCTAGTGTAAAATAAATGCTTAGTTTTTAGAAGTAATAGAAATCTTGTACTGATGATAAATATGTGATAAATATACTACATGCATATTCTAAAGGGTACTCCATTTGTTCATGAAGAGGTTTCAATGTCAGCTGCATCCCCCAACACACTCCTTTGCAGACCTAATGCAGGGCCATTTTCTACTTGAATTTCTTAATTCTTTCATCCAAACTATTATTCAACAACAGAAGCATGCTAGTTGGCTTAGAAGCTTTTACAAATCATTCTCCTGCCTTGAACACATAATGTTGTAATGTCAAAATTTTCTTTGGATAATGTCTGGTTTTGGTTTCTTACTCTATGTAATCATTAACTAATTACTCTCTGTCTTCATTACATCTCTGGTAGCTTGTAGCTTGTGTCCTGATTACTTGCTACTCTAAAGATTAAAGCCTTTTGAAATGAATATATGCTCTTCCAAAAATAAATTATGATATACACAAGGTTTGGGAAAGAAATGCTGGTTTTTAATAATGAACTTAAATTAAGCATTTTAAGAGCAGCTACCTCTGAGTGATATCTAAGGTACAGTTGTATTGTTTTCTCTTTAAAGAAGCAAATCTTTAAAAGCAAGCAAATGAAAAAACCTTTCTTCAACAAAGCAGCAACAGCCAATGACTTTGCTGGTTTGGCTGTCACAGAAACATAATCTAAGTTGCTCAAAAGAAAATATTCGTGGCTTTTTACAGTACTTAAGTTACATGTGATGGAAAATACAAACAGTTAAAATTACATGTTTCTGCCTATGTTTAGACCGTATGTCTAAACTTCTTTATTAATATTTGCTTATAAATGTCTCCTTGAATCCCTGAGATAAGATATTCATAAATAAGAAAGTTTATTTCCAGGCTATGCCATTTGGTTCTATTGGTAATGGTCTTCTCTTTTTTTCTCCTTCTTTTGAACTGTATTTTTATTCTTTATTTATATCCTTATTCCTCATCTGCTTCCTTGTTCTTGAAAACAAGTGACCAGAAGCATGCAATGTAGTCAGATCTTATGAGTGATTTAGAAACTGGTGATGCCATTTTCATTTTCTATGGGAAAAACAGAACTACTGCCAGTGTTTTCTTCACGACTGGTGGCTCAGACCTCAATATGTTTCCCTGCCAGAACTTTATGTCCACTTCTTTCAAAATCCTGGAATGTCCTGAGAGTCTTTCACCATTTGCAGAAAACTCTCACCCTATAAAAAACCATAGAGCCCTGAAGTCTAACCTTCTTAATTTTTGATACTCTCAAATTTTCTGTAACTTCTTGACTTCTAGCATACAGCTTTTTTCCTTGATCAGTCCCCCCTTCCTGGTTCCCATGAGCAAACCAACCTTCTCAAACACCTCTCTCTCATAACAATCTATTTTCCCATTTCTCAACTTCATTCTGTAGTGCACTAGACTTCTTGCACATTATTTAGTATTATTATTTTAGTCGGTCTCTTCTTCTCCTTGTTCTAAAAATATGTGTCCTCAGCATTTTCTCTCTGGCTTCCTGTGCAGCAAAGTACTTTAAATCTTCTTTTCTCTGTTACTGCTGCGAATTTCACTCTAAAATCTTATCATCACCTCCAGCTCTCTCCAGTCCTTTGGCATTTTATTAAGAAATGTCTCATTCATAAAGTAGAGGTCTTTTTAGATCTGTATTCAAGTGCTGTCTACATCATGTAGAGCTGAGTTTTACACCCACTCATTTGCATTGTTGCAACAATTCTTCGGGGTTTCTTTTGCCACAATAATTAGAGCCTCCTTTAGTGAACTCTGCCTCCTCCCCCAACAACATCTCACCCCATGGCTCTTGCTCTGCTATCCTCTGCTTGTTGGCTCCACTAATTAATTGTTCTGTCCTCTTGCTCTAGTGCAATTACCTTCAAGGGGACAAAGTACCAAGTAATTGCACAGCTAGAGTGCTGCATCTATTCAAGGTCTCGTATTGTGTGTAATATTTGAGCTCCTTCTCTCTGCTCAGAAACATACAAAATGTCAGAGTCCATAAGACTGAGAAGAAAATCAACTTTTTTCCCTAGTCTTGTACCAAAAGAGCATTCTTTTCTAATTTTTTTTCCAAGGGTGGAGCCATGGAGAGTAAAGGTTTCATAAACTGTGACTGGAAGAGGAATGGAGCCCATAGATAAAGCAGTACTTCTGAACTAGATAGATGTTTCCATATTGAGCCCTCAACTAAGTAATTTTGAAATAAAATTTTCATGAATTATGAGTAAGTTTTAGAGAAAAGACACGTTCATTGTGTCTTCTCATAGAGTAAATGCTGAAAGTAAAAGAAGCAATTTCACTGAAGAATCCCTCTGCTCTTTCATACCTAAGTTCCTTTAGGCTTCTTATAGGAAACAACCAAAGGGAAAGCAAGAAAAAAAAGCCCCAAATTTGAATTAGTGTCAGAATGTAATTATTCAAATTTATAAACACAGAGAACCACATTAATCTTCTCTGAGACAATAAGAAACTGTCGCAAATGCTACCTACACATACAGCCCTCAAAACCACTGCCAAAAAAAAACTTATTTTACATCTCTGGTAACTTCTGAATACCATTTGATGCTACAACTATTAAAGAGTTGCTTCCACGCTATCATGGTGCCTGAATCCATTGTAGTTCCTCTTCTCCCTTCCTATCAGTCTTTGCACCGAAGCCTTGGAAATCTGCCCTCAAGCTCCACCAGGTGTTATCAGCAGCTCTCCTCCTCAAAGTTTTAATGTAAAGAGTGAGCTTTCCATGCTTTTGTCTGGTTTGTAC